CTACATGGTGTTTTACTGCCAGAAGCGGAAAGGAATTGGGGTGCCTTGAACACCAAAAACATGTTTGGGGGTATTAGGCACTAATACAATTTATTCTGTGAGTATTATGGTACAAAATTCTACAAACTGGCTTCTTCAGAGTCACAACATACTGTTAGAACGTCTTTTAGTTTATTGTAATTGTATCTAATAGCTAACACAGGAATTTGAGTGCTCCTCAGTTTAGAAGCTAAGCAGAGCTGGCAGGGAAATAATGCAGTAATATCTATAAGCATGAACATATACATTTATGAATTGAAAAGATGAATTGAATATTCTGTACTAACTGGCCAGCATTAATATAGTAAACCCGTTCTGTTAGAAAGCAATTGTCTAGATCTGCTTAGAAGGAGGGAGAGAAGAATGGGACAGGTTGACCCTTAAAGTCTTCCTTTTCCCCCATAACAGCAGAAGATTCTTGGGCTCCCCCTCCCCCGTGTATTTAAGCTAATGAAGTATATCAGTAAACAAGTGCCAATAGGAGCATAAGAAATGCTCTGCAGCTTTCCATGGGGTGCCTATGGATAGCCCACGAGCAGGGCACGAGCATGCCAACTCTCTCCCATTCATGTTCCCCCGGCAACTGGTATTGAGAGGCATACCCATTCATACAACCTGAACATCAGCCATGGTCGAAAACTTTATTTATTTATTTATTGAATTCCCATCTCCCCCATCCACTTGCAATTGCAAGGTGACTTTCACCCTGCTTACCCTCACAGTGCGAGGCTTTGGGAGGGTTGCTGAGCCAGGGTCTCCAAGGAACCACTCTGGCCGAGTGTGGGCCTCTTTGGTGATGGTGAGATGGGAAGTAAGAGAGGATGCCAGGGATGCTTACAGCAAGAGAGTCACTGCAGCCTCTAGAAGGGAAGTCATATGCATGTATAGGTCTAAAGTAGGAAGGATGTATGTGCCCCTAGTGGAATCATGACTTTTCAGATGTTTAGCACCAAGATCCCACACAGGTTTATGCGTGCTTTCAGCTAAACACACAAGCCCCCTTTAAGTCTTTCACTGAGCATGAGGGGACGCTTGTTATGGGCATGTAACCTCACATCCCCACTGTACCCCTACTTGTGTTGGAAGTGAATGCCTGCACAGGGCCAGGATTGGTTTTGCTCCTTCCAAATGCCTTGGAAGAACAGAGAGACATTTTCAGGCATCGCTAGTTTCCTAAAGAATCTGATTAACCCATTTATGCAAAGCATGCTTTTTAATAAGTATAATCCCCATGATACCACCCATACATTTGAAACCCTGGTACTATAAGTTAGGACTGTAAACTTCCCTTGTTTTCCTTGAACTGATTAACTCAAGGGGTTGATGTGTATACTGAGAAAAGAAAGTGCCATTCATCAAATTAATCCTGTTTCGACAGATTTGTTATACCCTGTACTACTTTAGATATCGTTTCAATGCCATGAATGTGTTTCTAGCTGTGAAGGCTGTATTAAGGTTAATGGACATTGCACGGCAAGATTGATACTTTGCAGCAAATTTACCTCTCTGCAGGTAACCACTGTTCTGTGAAACAGTTTGATGTACCTTGAGAATAAGATGTGCTATATTAAAATGCAGCTTTTTGCCCCTCCCCTTAGAAAGCTGTAACTTCTTAGTATTTATAAGGTTTTTCTATCCGTTTTAATGACATCGTGGTTCCATTAATTTCTGCGAAAAATCAAGTTATTCACATAAACTTCAGAACACCTGCTTTGTTTAGGTCTGTTGCTGCTGCTCTTCCTGCTCTTCTAAGTTTTCTATCAAAGCAAGTAGGGGCATACAAAGCAGATTATGTCGTGAAATGTCATATGACTCAGGTCTTAAGTGATTCATCAGCACTGATGGCAGCCATCCCCAACCTATTAGCAACCATGACCAGTGATGAGGACTGTTGGGCATTGTAATCCACAACACTGGAAGGACACCAGATTGGGGAAAGGCTGGGTCTCAAGAAAATTCAACCTCCAGATCATCTTCTAATGATAAAAGGCTGCCTAAGAAAACATTTCTACCAAGGCAGAGGGAATAAGCATAGCCACTTCAGGGTCCGGACCAAGCTGAACTCATGAGATGATTTTGAAAACATTCTAAGTTATTCCAGGAGACAGCTAAAAGGCACTATTTCTCTTGGGTTTGCTAAGAATTCCAGCCTGGGTAGGAATAAAGTTTAAGATGCTCAAGTGCAGAATTAACCTTGCTAAGAGGCTTGCTTTGTCCTGCCTTTCTGTTCTGTGGTTCCATTGGTTAACTTTGGACTTTTATGGTTTGCAACACATTTTCAAGTGGTTCTAGATTTATCATTGATTTGTTAAATTTATATCCTTCCTTTTTCCTTTCAAGGCTCTCAAGACGGCTTACATCATTCTCCTCCTCCTCTCCCTTTTATCCTCAAAGCAACGATCCTGCAAGGTGGATTAGGCTAAGAGTCTGTGACTAGCCCAGAGTTTCTGAGTGAGCGCCATGGTTGAAAAGGGATTCGAACCTGGAGACTCCATATACCCAGCCCAGCACACTCACCACCGCACCAACACTGGCTCTCTTGAAGCAGTGTTTGCTTTTGGTTCGTAGTGCTTCCAAGGAAAATGGTGTCAAGTGGAGAGAATTATGCTTGGTTCCTAGACTGAGCCGAATCCTCACCAGAACCCCTGAGAACATATGCAGACAGTGACTTTCCGCTTCCTTTTTAAACATATGCATGCAACACATGCAATTTGACAAATGTTAAAGCTCCCCCCCCCACCCCCGCTTTTCCATACCTGCTCAATCACTACTCCTAGGCCATGATTCGATACCACACATTCCAAAGTTGCCAGAATCAGTTGTGACCTGCTGCAGTATTTTACAAATTTCCGGGTGGAAACTAACTATTTCCCTGCTTTATTATGTGTTTTGGAGTGGGGCTATTCTGTATGGTGGGGGGCCCAGGTTATGAGGATAGTGAGCAGAATGGCAGTGACAGACAGGCTATTAGAAGAGAACGAGGCAAACAGAACACCACTCTCCCTTCCTATTAGTTCTTCTGCCAGCTAAGGTTCTAGAGCTTGTGGTGGTGGTGCCTCCCCTTCCCCCACCTGTTCCCCGTTCAAAATAGTACTTTTGAATGCCAGTAAATAGTAATATCATGGCATCACAGAATCTGGGATTATTGAACTCCTGGACATAATTATTTCTAGGGCACATTTACTTTTATCTGGATGAGGGAATTTACTGAGGCTGTAGACTCTTTCATCTTCTTCGGATCTATAGTGAAACAGTTATATGACTGCTTCAATGTTAGCCAAGTTCCCCGTCAATCTCAAGGGCCTGGATGAGTGGAGCAGTAAAATGTGGCCATGTTATTAATAGTTCAGAGGGGAGGATATAATACTTGCATCAGTACAGAAAGAGGCGGTGCTGGGAAATCAAATGGCCTCCATGTTCACCCACATGCAGACGTGCTTGGATGAATTTATTTTCACTCACTACTGTATTAACACCAGAAGCAGAATAATCACAAGAATGTCACATGTGCAGGTGGCACAGTATCAGCTTTTGCCTTTGTTTTCTTTGGAAATGTAAGTGAAGAGAGGTGACTGTATAATCTTTGAGATCTTTCTGCTGGCTTTCCCAAAGATGCTTGCATTATTTACATCAAGCCAGTGCGGCCCGAGTAGCAATTACACACAGGGGAACTGGTCAAAAGGTAATTCTTCGCAGGGATGGCAGACTTCGGCTGCAGTCATATACCCGTGCGTCAGGGAGTAAGTCCCACTCAACCGGACGAATACCTGTGCAGACATGTACAGCAGTGTGCTGCTAGAAACACGTGTGATTATTGTTGTGTGCGCGTGCACTGGCGAGAGTCCCAGGCACACACGAGAAGCTGACCATTTGGTGTGACTGCTAGCTCAGAGTCTGAGGATGTGGGGAGCTGGCTGAACCACATGAGGCTCAGAGCTGAAACGCTGTCGCAATGGACAGGCCTGTGCCTACAGACCCAGTCTGTCAGTACCAGTCTGAGCCTGCTCAAGGACACCCATGGAGCCCAGTCTGTGTGCCTGTGGGAATGAAGGAGAAGATTGACATAAGCATCCAGAGGGAGGAGATTTGGCAATTGGGTAGTCTCTGGGATGGAGAGCACCCACCTCCTGAGGAGTTGGACCCAGGGCCCATCAGTACAGCCACAGGCTGGCCCAACTGGGGACTCAGAGTGCAGAATGCAGGCATGCCCGGTTCCACAGCGCCCCTCCCGAGTGCAGAATGCAGGCATGCCCGGTTCCACAGCGCCCCTCCCTCCAGAGACAGGCCCTGAAGGGTTCATAAGCAAAGCTTTGGGTGAGGTGCGGGGGGCAGAGAGGGTTCAACTTCTTGCTTTGTGTATTCTCAGATACTAGTGTTTGCTTAGAGACTTCTGTGTAGAATAAAGACGCTTACAAGAAGTCTTGGAGAGTCTGTCTTGCTGGGGAGGGAACACCTAGCTCACGGCAGCTTGAACCCTCTCTGCCCCCCTTTACCCAAAGCTGGTTTCTCTAATGTGTCTCTTGTTGTGTAAGATGTCCCATAGAATCATTGATTAATGTAATTGTTTTTCAGGAAAATTGGGGAAGATTTATGTAGGAATTGTTAAAAAAAGAATTCATTGTATGGCTCAAGGTACAGAATTATGTTGGAGAAAGAAAAAGTTGGCTGATCAATTGTACTGAATTGTGAATTACAGCCTGCCAGACATGTATTGTCCTCAGTTAAGGGCTTAATATATCTCCTGTTTTTATCACTTGCCTGGCGCTTTTCAGGAATTTACTATGTTAAAGTGCATGGATGATGGGCTACATCCGCCTTGATGCATCACAAGTTGGGCTGATCTGTCTTAGAATTATTTCTTCTGGCTTGGGAGATAAAACTACTTAATCAGTTTGACGATCAGCCGCCTATTGCAGTATAGAAAAAATGAGATTTAATTGTGTTTAATATTACTTTTCTAGACTCTGGAAGCTATCTTGAATTTCAAATATTCTGGAGGTCCAGGGCATGCCGATGGATATTACAGGAACTTGTCGCTGGGGCTTCATGCAGAGGTTGAACCATCGGTCTTCTTTACACGTGTCAGTACCCTGCCTGCAACGAGGTATGTCGCTGGGGTCTTTTCAGTGTTATCTGATCGAGACTGGCATTTTTTCCTGTAAGCATATGGAAGATTAATACAATAACCATGAAGATCAAAATTATACTGAAGCATCAGCTTAACTCCTTCAAAAAGCAGAAGTAGATTGGCCTTCCCCTTCTTGCCCTTATGCTCCAGAACCCCAGACAGTCTCTTTGCAGAGCAGTTCTTTATTGGCACTCCACAGCTACAAGAAAAAGGAACTGTAAAAGCTCTCCAGTAAGCTGGAAGAAAATCATTTGTGCATACTAAGAATGATTGCTTAGCCCAGACTAGGAACTTCTCTCCAAAGCCCTTTCCTTTCAGTACCTCTGGGGCTCTCTACCCTCGGGGTGGCTCCCACTGTTGAGGGGCCACCTGGCAAGATTGGTGCAAGCCTTCTCACTGGGCAGTGCATCTCTTCTGATGCCCCATCGTGGGGCAGGGATCGGGCAAGGCAATGGCTCCTCCTCCTCTTCTTCAACCCTTCCTCTCTTCCACAACATTCCCGCTCTCCTGGTCGGTGTGGCAACCCTTGGGCAGTGATCTTGAGAGTGTTTCGAAGGCCTGTGCCTCTGGCTCGTCTCCCAAAAGCTCTCATCTCCACTGTCTCAAGGTCCCCTTCTTCTTCAGATTCCCTGCCCTGCTGACCATGAAATACCCACCAAGAGTGGCATTTGGTTTTATTCAATACAATTACTTTACTTCTAAGTGAGAAATATGTTGCTGCTCCATGTTCTTAAAGATTCTTGATTGCAGCTACTGTATTCAGCTAACGACTGATCAGAATTTTTCAAACATCAGGCAGAAACAGTTCTATTGTAGTTTCTTTTAATTTTTGCCCCAAATAAGCTTAATCTAACTTGAAGGACCATGGAAATGCATCTCTTTTTACATAGCTTTCATTCAGTTTAATGGGGCTTTGCTCAGGAGAACTGCTAGATGGATTGTGACCAAGACCTTCAAGCACATTCTTCTAAGAATGCCTGTAACTTCCTGGCCCCGGAAGCTTCCACCAAGCCAGCACAGAGTAAGAGGAGCAGTGGAAGCCATCTCTGTTTTTTGCTAGAAAGGCAATTCCTTCCTCTCCTGCAGCTTCTCTTCCGCCTTTGTTGCTCTACAAGGTCACTTTCCTCATCTCAGAGAATACACAATGTGGCTCTTTCTGCACCAGCTGTGAGGGAGAACAGAGCTCAAATTCTGAGGTCGAAGCGCAGGTCTCTGGCCTCAACTCGTAAGAATCTGAAAATTCTTGAGGCTGCCCAGATGCCGTCTAGGAGCCATAGGATCACTCCCTCTGCGCCTGTATATTTTGTTACATGTAATACGCTCAACACATTTGGCAAGCTTTGGATGAAACCCAGCCAGTATTAAGCACTGTTAAGTGTCATTAATTTAAGTGGGGACAAGTTAGGCATGTAATTAATTCAGCCATGCATATAAATGATTGATGCAACTCTCTTTTATTGCCTGTCCTATCATTAGGCAGAATAAGGTAGTCACTTAAGGCAATGGCAGCTGCGGGATTGGGGAATGGGGCTGCCATGTCTTAGGACAAAGTATGTGTTACATGTGGCTTGCCTTGAATTTCCTTAGTTAGCCAACCGCCCTGAGCTACAGTGGAGGATTCTGGCCTGTGGCCAAGTGTTGCAACCTGATTCAGCAATCAGTTTGGTCAGTTGCTGCCCATGGAAAGTAGGTGAGGAAACAGGCCAGCCCTGCTCTCTCAGGCTAGATTTTTCCCATTGTTTGTTCATGTTCATGTTCCCTTCTTTCCTGTGCTGCTGCTGTGCCAGAGAAGAAAGAAAGAGAGGATAAACCTTACGCACAGGCAATGCTATCCGCTCCATCAGCGGTCTAAGAATTCTATTTTGCCATGTCTATCATACAGAAATGCATTAAATGGGCAGTGAAATGATCATTCTATTATCTTTTGAGGTGATCTTCTTATTTTATTGCAGTGACCAAGTGAATCCCAAGTTGCTCTAACCAGCCCTAAAAGTTGGCCAATATATACTGCCTCTCTAACTGATCAGGTGTAAATAATTTGTTTACTAGTATAAAGAATATTGTTGTTACATGCTATCAAGTCACCTGGAACTTAGGGCAACTCTTGTGGCTTTCTTTATGGAAGCACTCCATCTCATAGTTGGTCTTCCTCCTCTGCTTCCTCCCTAGCCTTTTCATGTCTTTCTCCAGTGTGTCTTGCTGCCTCATGATGTGCTTTGAAGTACGACAGCTTTGGCTTTGCCGTGTTTGCTTCCTGGTTTGATTTGCTCTAGGATCCACGTGCCCATCTTTCTGTGGATTCAGGATATTCACAAAGCTGTCCTCCAGCACCATGTTTTGATCACATCAAATTTCTTCCTTCACTTTTCTTCATTGTCCAGTCTTTTCTTTACCCATATATGGTGATCAGGAATACAACAGTGTGGATGGTTTTGCCCTTGGTCTTCAGTGGGACATCCTTATACTGGATAATCTTATCTAATTCCTTCATTGCTCCTCTTCCAAGTCTCAGTATTCTTTGAATTTTTTGGTTGTAATCTCTGTTTAAATTGATGACCGACTGATCCACGGATGCCGAATGTTTCACAATTGCAATTTCTTCATTGTTACCAGTAAAGTTGTATAATTTCTTCTGGAGTCATGATTTTTGTTTTCCTAAAGTTCAGCTGCAGTTCTGCTTTTGCATGTCCTTCTTTCACTTCCACCAGGAGTCTTTTCAATTTATTGCTGCTTTCTGCCAGTAATCTGGTATTGTCTGTGTATCTTAAATTATTGATGTATCTGCTGGAAATTTTCATTCCTCCTTTCTCTGGCCAGCTTTCCTTGTATGTTCTATGTGCAGATTGAACAGATAGGGAGATAAAATGCATGGTTTGTGACCTTTGCCCATGAGAAACCATTCTGTTTCTACATATTCTGCCTTCACAGTAGCTTGTTTTCCATGATACAGGTATGCATGATACGGGTATGCATCTGTGTCACGAGCACTGGGTGCTGAGCTATACCCATTTTCTTCAGATTCATCTACAGTTTCTCATCATCCACATAGTCCAACGGTTTTGCTGCAATCTGTCAAACATAGACTGAGCTTCTTTAGAAATCTTTGGCACACTGCAGTAGCCAAAGCATGTTTACAATGTGAGATTGAGTGCCTCTTCCTTTTCAGAATCCCATTTGAACATGGGCATTTCTGGCTCTACATAGGGTAAAATTTTTAGTTGCAACACCTTGACCATCACTTTGCTTGCATGGAAAATCAACGCAGTGATCCTACAGTTTGCTGCACTCTGGTACATCTCTTTTCTTGGGGATTGCAGTGTATACTGAACGTTGCCAGCCTGTGATTCATTGCTTGTTATCCATATGTGTTGGCATATTCTTATTAGGATTTGTGCTGACTGACTAGGTTCAGACAATACAAGCCATGGTGCGTTTTTCTGTTGTTGTCTGTTGTGTTGTCTGAACAGTTGTTGTCTGTTGTGTTGTCTGGTATTTTTTATTTAACGGATTTATGTCCTACCCTTTTTCTTACAATGAACTCAAAAGCAGTTTCTATCACTTTCCTTCTCCTGCTCTCAGTCTTATCCCCACAACAGCAACCCTGTGAGGTAGGTTGGGCTGAGTATCCATGACTGGCCCAAGATCACTCACTTGGTTCCATAGCTGAGCAGGGACTAGAAAACAGATCATCTGAGTAGCCACCCTGTGCCCTTAACCTCTACCCCACACTGGCTATTGAACATTTGCTCTTTAGCAACCATGATAAGAAACAACAGTACGTTTTATGGTTTCTGTGTACCACCATGGCCTGTTGTGTTGTTTGAAACCAGGATAATGGTTTCCATGGTCCTGGTATGCAACTACTAATGAATCCTCTGGAAAGAATGGCAATTGCAGCCATCTGGCCTCTGTGTATAGATCAGTGAGGAAGAGGGAGGTGACATAGACAGGGAGTGATGCACTTGGAAGTGAATTTCAGGTGCAGTGGCTGATGGGATACATGCCAACAGTGGGATGACTGAGCGGGAAGGATGGAAACCATGATAAAATAGAAACCACTTGATATTCTGCTGTGTAGATCATGGTAAAAAACTGAGATCCATGGTGACCTGGCAGGTTGCTTGTTGTATTGTATACTCTTCAGCTTCTGTATAGACTGAAGTGCCTAATCCGGTCTACTCTTGGAAGCTATGCAAGGCTTGGTTAGAATCTGGATGGGTGACTTGAATTCTATGATTATTGTAAACTGTTGAGAGAGCTTTGGCTGTGGGCAGCATAAAATGTGATGGTGAATTGCTGAAAAGTTGTAGGTTTCTGACCTTATTTCTGCTTTTGCTTCTCACCTGTTCGAATCAATTGTGTTTCTTCTATCATCCCTCTAGGTTTTTTCTTTCTTTTTGCTACAGGAATTGTCTTCTTGCATTCTTTCCTAATAATGCCTCTGGTTTCCATCTACAGTTCTTCTGGTTCACAGTCAATTGAATTCAGTAATGCAAATCTGTTCTTTATGCTCTTTATTTGTTTCAGAATGGATTTCAGTCAAAGTTAACACTTCCATGGAGTCTGGTAGACTTATATTTTATATAATGCATAGTATCCTGGATAAATTCCAGCATTTATCAAACCACTTAGTAAGATTAAAGTAGCAGCCTTATGTATGAAGGCCTACACCTCCCAGCATGTCCCAGTGAACATGCTTTTTCTGTCTAGGCATGCATAAACTTGTACCCTAATTGTATTGCTACCCTGATAGCAATTAAGGCACAAGTATGTTGAAGTGATAAGCTTTCTGAAAGCCTGCCACAGATTGTCCCTTCTAAAACACTGGGAACAACTATCAGTATCAAACATAGCTCTGGCTATGTGTATAGGAAAACAACATATCACTGCTTTGGAGTATGGCTTCATTCGTATAAATTTGTGTTAAGGTTAAGTGGTTTGTCAGAGGCAAATCCATTGGTGAACTGGGTTTCGAAATATAATGGGTGAATACATATTTAGGCACAGAGTATATTTCCAGATCTTTTAAAGACATTCCTGGTTTTTGGTTTTTCAAAATGTATGTTTGTTGTGCAAACACTGATGCCATTTTATCCTCAAATGTTTCGTATTTTTATATTGTCTGTTAAATTTTTCTGGTTCTGGTGATCAACAATACTCTTGCTTTTCACTTGTGATGCCTTATATTTATTTGCCATCATCAGTACAAATTGTATCTCATTCATATAGTTCGTTCATACAAAAAAAGCAGGAATTTATTTGTCTGTGCATTTTGAATATGTGTCATTGAAAAAACAACTTGTTTTTTGGTTATGGATCCACTGTCTAGAGCAGACATTCATTGTCCTGAATGATGTAAATTATTAAACAAAAGTTTGCACTTTGGCTTTCTTATTTTAGTCTATACTTTCAAAACTGGACATACAGCTTTGCTTTAGTGTATTTACAATGTTTGTTCTGCCTTTCCATATCAACCTTCAAAAGAATTGTATAAATAACATAATAGTCTTTATGAGAGAGTGGTTATTTATTGGGGAAAATAACTAACTACATTGCTAGTTTTGAAAAGGCTATGTCAGAAAATATTTGTCTACATCCCTACCATATTGTTTCTCTCTTAACACAGATGCATGCACTTCTCTATCTGTCTTATAAGTACTGTATTTGCACTTTGTCTAGTTTAATCTGTCTTCACCATTATTTTCCCATTATGTTTCCCCCTTTAGCTCTGTCTTATCTGTAATACAATTCAATGGACAAGTTAGACTGTGTCTAGTTCCTGACATGGGTCATCCACTAAAGGTGACCAAAGCTGTTTCTGTCCCTTAACCAGGTCTGAAGCCAGATTGAAGCAGATTTAGATATTCACTCATCCAGGAATCCCTGGAATTGGGAGACCACCCAATGCTCTTAATTCCTTGCCCAAAAATGGGATATTGGAGACTGCCCGATAGTTGTTCAACACCGTGGGATCCAGGGAGGCCTCACCACTGCCTCTTTCAGGCAGATTGGAACTGTGCCTTGTCTAATCCCACAGCATACCCACTCAAGCAGTCCTCAACTCCAGCTGCTTTAACGAGTCAGGAAGGGCAAGGATCCAGAATGCATGTTGTGGCTCTCACTTCTCCAACAAACCTGTCCACATCCTCAAGTTGTACAAATTGAAGAGTGTCCAATAATGCTAGACAAGCAGGAACCAAATTTACATCCCCTGGGAATGTGTCAAGAACAGCATCCAAGTTAGAGTGAATCTGAGCAACTTCATCTGCAAATTGTGGAATAGCAAATATCCTGGAAGACGGAGATAAGATACAGGGTGGTCTGAATGGGTTAGAATGCTGGGCAGAGAACAACAGAATAAAATTCAATAGAGGCAAATGCCAAGTCCTCCACGTAGGAAAAAGAAACCAAATGGTTTGCTACTAAATGGGGGATACTTGGCTCAACGGTACTGCAAATGAGAAGGATCTTGAGATTGTTGAAGATCACAAGCTAAATATGAGCCAACAATGGGGATCTTTTTGTGACTTGTAGGCATGTGAGGGGATGTCATGTGGAGGAGGGCCATGATCTGTTCTTCCCTGCGGTGAAGGGCAGGACATGTTTCAGTGGGACAAAGCTCAAAGAACCGGGCTTCAGGTTGGATGTCAGGAAGTACTTCCTGACAGGACTGCTAGGATATGGGATGGCCTTTCAAGGGAGGCAGTTGAGGCCCCATCAGTGAGGGTGTTCAAGGAAAGATTGGACAACTACATGTTGGGGATTAATGTGAGCAAAGCTGGCTGGAGGCGGGGGTCAGACTAGATGGCCCGGGAGACCCTTTCTGATCCGCTCAGTTTCTGTTTCTAATGTGATGCCCCTGCAAAAAGGACAAACACAATTTTGGGCTGCATTAACAGAAATATCACTTCCAGAACATGTACTGGTCTCCCTATACTCAGCACTAGTCAGACCTCACCTAGAGTACTGTATCCAGTTCTGGGCACTTAAGTTTAAAACAGATGCAGAAAAGATAGAAAGGGTACAGAGGAGGGCAACAAGGATCATTCAGGGACTAGGGGCAAAGCCTATGAGGAAGGACTGACAGAACTAGACATGTTTAGTCTCAAGAAGAGAAGGGTGAGGGGTAATTATGGTAACACTCTTCAAGTACCTGAAAGGCTGTCACAAAGAGAAAGGACAAGATCTCTTTTTGTTCATTCCAGAGTGCAGGACACGGAATAATGGCCTTAAGTTAAAAGAAACCAGATTTAGACTAGACATCAGGAAGAACTTCCTGACTGTCAGAGAAGCACAACAATGGAACTTATTACCTGGGAAGGCTGTGGCCTGTCCCTCACTGGAGACATTCAGAAAGTCTCTGGACAGTCATCTGAGTGGCTGAGTGGCCCAATGGCCTTCTGACCCCTTCCAACTCTGCTGTTCTATTCTTCTTCTGTATTTAACCACACAACAACCTTGTGAGGTAGACAAGCTGACATTCAGTCACCCAGTGAGTTTCATGTGCCAGCACGGACTTGAACCCAGGTCTCCTGAGTCCCAGTCTGACACTAAATCAGCACAGCACACCACCTCTCAATGTGTATGGTTCATATATAATGAAATAGAACATTTTTTGCCCACTGAGGGGAAAAATCATAGAATTCAGCAGCCTCTTTTCATGGCAAAGGCCCAACAAATCTGCCTCTTCCAAACTGAAGTAGGTTGTCATTTGGTTCAGTGAAATTTTATGAGTTTCTATTTTAGTGTTACTAATGAATAAAGCAATAGCACTTGTCTCTCTCATCTCATCTCCTCTTCTCTCCTATATTGAATTTAGTATTCCCCCCATGATAAATGTTTTATACATCCATGTGCTTATGGAAAGTTTTTCAGTGATTAAAGATTTTATGAAGTTATGATAGCAGTGCCATAGATTTTCATTCTTCAGGGGGTTGTGCTTTCTGAAAATGAGTAACCTATAAAATGTCAGACATGGGCATGTTCTTGGCTTCCTTTGTGACAGAGATGTATATTAAGGCTTGACATAGAATTGTATGCTCCATTATCCAAAACTAAGCTATTTACATCTCAGCACCACATGCATGACAATATCCATGTACACTGTGCCTTAATGAATCTGCAGTTAATGCCATCACATTGTTGCAAACCCTAATATATTAAAACCCTCACCTAAATGTCTACATCCCAATCTCTACTATGGTTATTGCGAAGACAACAAGCTGATTATTAAAGCATGAATCTCCCAGATGAAATGTTCTTCATATTGTATGTTCTTGGGGACAGGGTACCAGGGGCTTAACTATTTTGCACAGTGACAAGAACAGGACTGCAAAAATGTAACACATGTTTGCAATAGAAAGAGAGGTGCTGCAAATTGCTATCTTAAAAAAGAATTCTACCCTTGCAGCTTGGAAACAAATCTCTTCCTACAAAGTACTGATTGTAAATACAGGCAGTCCCCAAGTTACGAACATCCAAGTTACAAACAGCCTATACTTATGAACAAACTGCCATAAAGCCTATTTACTGAAGGAAATGGTCATTACTACAGGGAGACAGGAAGTGAAATGGCAGAGAGGGAGGCCTCCAAAGCAGGCCTTTTTCCCCAATCAGGGAAATCTCTCCAGCATTTTCTTCCTGGTGAGTTTGGGCGGGGCGGGGGGGGTCCTACATTCATATTTTTTCCACTTTCACAGAGGCCCAGTGCCCCTGACCCCTTCAAATATGGAGGACCAACTATAAATGATCCAACGTACATACAAATTTGACTTAAGGACGAATTCTCATTTTCTCAGAATCCAGGGATCACCTCTATTGTGCTTCCAAGAGGTCTAACCAACCCACCTATCTAGGCCATCCATTCATTTTGTGCCAGTTCAGGATAGGTACAAGAAATCATACCATGTGCCTCTGACAATGCGATATAAATGTGTATGTGAATCATAAAGGACACGTATTGCAAAAGCTTATAAATATTTAGGATTTATAATAATTGCCCATACCATAACTCTATAATGGATTACTAAAATCTTGATATTATTACTTTTTATCCCTTTAAATAGTACCCGCCAGTGCCATCTACTCCTTGATGTGTTCAACTCAACAGAACATGAACTCACAATCAGTGCAAAGAACAATGAAGATCTAATTCTGCATGCTGGGGAATGCCAGCGGTACGTTCAAAAACATAGCTGTTTTTATATTGTTTCCTTTTCTCTTTTAATTGTATCTATTTATATGATATATTCATGTCCCATTTTGAATGCATGAAGCTCAGTAGTACATGTGATTACTAGGTATCCAATTAACTGACAGGTCCACAGAATCTTAATTTGAACCTTTTAAATTTACTTCAGTTCAAATAAGTTTCTTGCAGTTTTACCATTATGAACATAACATAATTGGCTTAAGAGAACAAAAGGAAACATTTTTTTATTCATTACACTTTTGAGAGTGAGGAATCGTTTCTTGGTTCCCAAGAACCTTGTGGGTACTTAATTTTGTACATTAAAATCAAGTAAATTTTTAAATAAAGTACACATTTATATTAAACATCTATGCAAAGTTAAGAGGTCAATTTCAGATTGTCCCTGAAATTGGTCCCTGGCTAATACACACAGTATCAAAGTATATTAGTTCTGTATCACTTCTCATTACTTCCTACTTTTGCTCACTTTTAAAGTTGGACAATAGCTTTTCTAAATCACAGGGCCTTTAACTCTTGTTTTACAAACAGTACAGTAGAGAATTACTGAAATTCTTCCCTTAGGCTTGCATATTTTGAAGAAAAGAAAGCAGCAATCTTAGTGCCCAATATACATGATATAAGAAGAACATTTTAATACTTAACCAGTACAAGTCCAGTGAGCTTTTTTTCATTCAAATGCAGAAAGCAGTAATTGACCTCCTGACACTATAGAAAATAAGAGGAAGTTCTGTATAACTATGGCTGTATAAGTGCTCTAAAAATCTGTTTTTAAAACATAGCAGTAATAATGCATTTAACTTATTTAGATTCCTTGAAGACTCAGATGTCAGAAACCAAAACCTAATGTTAGTTTGTGTTCATTGTGCTCCTGACTTCATTCTATTCCTAGTATCAGAAATTTAGTTTGTGATTATGGTTGAATTTTTCAGCTGTAGATTCCATTTAGACACAGTAGAGCTCATTCACATGTAATTTTGAATGAGCCCTAAACCTTAATTTTGCTTTATGTGAATCTTGGTCTTGTATGCTTTCATGCTGTCCTCTAGAGCAGTCACAATGAGAAGTTTGGGTGCTTTAGCTTCTGTGTTTCATTAACTGCAACTACAGGTAGTCCCTGGGTTATGGATAAATGAATTATGAATAACCCATACTTATGAACATGTGGACTGACATAAACTCTATATGAATATCTCTAATGAATCTTTTTCCCTAGAAAAAAACCCATGAATATCTCTACAGAGCTACATGATGTGTTTGGCAACATGTCATTAGTGGCTGCATAGTTCCCTGGAGATATGCACGGCTTTTTCCTAGAGATAGAGATTCATCAGAGATATTCACGACTTTTTTTTTGCTAGAGATAGCCATGGCGTTTGGCGATGCATCTCTCAGTGGCCATGTAGTTCCCTAGTCATGGAAACCCATTTCCTTAGACCAAATGTTTTCACCTTTTCCAACAAGATCAGACAACAGCTCAGACTCTTCCACATAAGTCTTGTGCTCAATCAGGAACTGGTGCTCCATCAGGAACTTGAATATAATAAGCAAGCACTGGGCTATATTGTCCTAGCAGCCCATTATCAGAGAACTAAGGAAGATAATGAGTGGCTGGTAAGTCACTTTTAAAGATCCAAGTTATTTTTATTGTGCTTACATTAAAATTAAAGACAGACAGACAGACAGTAAAGATCAAACAAATTAAGCTAGGCTTAAGAGGCAAGTTATGACATTTTTTTCAATACTGTACACCTACACACATAAATACAGACTCTCTCTCTCTCCAGTACCCTTATTATTACTGTATTATTACCATCATTGCAATAATGTATTGTCTTTAAGATTTTTTAGTGAATATAGAAATGTTTCTTAAGTGTTTTATATGCATAGAAATACATACATATATTAAGACAAGCATTTGGTTTACTCATGGGATCCAACTTGCATACATTTGACTTAAGGATATTCTCGGGAATGGAACTCATCTGTAACCCAGGCACTACTTCTACTCATGTCATTCAAGCCCAGTAAATTGTTGGCTAATCTTAACTATCTTCTGTTGAAATAAATCAACTCCAGCCTGTGGCTTATAAAACTAATTTAATCAACCACAGCTAACATTAACCAGAGTTTATCCAGCTCCAGATTACTCTGTAAGTGCTAGTTAGTCTAAACTGGAAAAGAAATATTTTGATTTTGCAACTTTGTGGGAGGAGGAGAGGGGAGAAACCTGGGGGCTTACTCCGTGCTGCCTCCAAAACACCAAATCATGCTTTATTGTAGCTTTTTTTTTTTCAAGTTAGTATCAAAAGCACTAAAATAATGTTGATAGTTCGTGTGGTAGAAGTTGTAGTTCAACAGAATCAGGGGATCTGAAATTGGGAAAGTCTGATTGAACATTATGTGCTATTCAGTAAGATTTTAAAAAAAAGTTGGAATTTGCAGGCTTTGCATATAAAATGTTATAATTACAGTCATTATCACCTCAGCTTATTGCCTTGTATTCACAAATGTTTTTAATGAAGATAGTCAAAGTTTTATGCGTGATAAAAATAATACATGGCCATAGGCAAGTGATACATGCAAACCCACATGTGACAATCTTTGCACTTTTCACTTGAATATCAAGCCATTAAAATCAAGTTTCATGACAGGCATTTGCAATTAAAGGTGAAAAGTATTATATCTTATTTCGCCTAAGCATTTAAATTCTGAGCACATAATGTCTGGCATTAAATAGCCCTGAACTACCTCATTAGTGAAAAATTTATCAAAGTGATGATCTGAGAAGATCGGCCCTATCATTTGTCTTTTGTGGTTCACCTCAAGTGAGCCATGGAAGTGATTTTTTTTATGGATGTGTGGTAAACAGATTTCAGGGACTAGCTGAAAAAGTCATTATGCTTGAGATTTCTTTTTAAAGATAGGTTGTATCTCCTGTCTGTTGTCTACTCAAATGTTTTAACATCCACCACACTGCAGCTGCTACCAAATGAATGTTTCTCCAAGAGTGAGCAAAGGAAAACTAAGTCTACTTGAGCTTAAGGTTTGCATTGCTTTCATCTGAATTGTATCATTTAACTAAATGTATTTTTGGTATGAAAACATCCTCCATTCAGTCAAAATAGGTGGTAGTGTGAAAATGGCGGTCAAGGTATAAAATGTTTTTCTATAGGTACATGCAATGGTATATTTTATCAAGCAAAGAGCAAAGCATAGTATTTAGGAAAGGAGTAGACTGCATTTATATACTTTCCGCAACATCAATTATATTTTCCAGATTTCTTTTGTGTGCAGAAGCAAAGCATGAGGGCAAGGGAGGCATTGAGTATGTCATGTAATGGAATAAATTTTTTCTTCTGAATTGTAACATGTAACTTTTTAAAAGACATAGTAAAGTTATACTAACACAAGGACATCTGTTCAATTGGATGTTCTGTGATCTTAGAACCTGCTTTTATATATACCTTTAACCTTCATCCTGTGTTTGAAAAGTCTCATTGGTCACATTTGGGGTCCTTTTGTTACCCCAGGCCAAAGTGGTCCAAGCAAGGAAAATACTGCATTTGAATGTCCTTTTTTCTGCCTGAGGAGGTTTTACTCAATATAGCTCTCAGCTCTCAGCAAGTACAGGTAATTTAATTCTTCCGAAAGCTACCCACAAGAAGAAATGACAGTGCTTGGCCTATTGTCCTTCTGCCTAACATAGTTTGGCCTACTGGATTTCAAAAAAAGAGAGAAAATATTTCCCTCAGTGTGTTTTATCATGTTTGCTGAAGGTTTTAGATAAGGGTTAGGGACAATGTGGGAGGGGTACAAGTAGAAGACATCGTCATTGGAACCCCTATAAAACCTTATGCTTGAAGCTGGGAGATTGCTCAGTAAAACCCTCCTTTAGAAGGACCTTAAAGCACTGGATACTTTCAAGGTCAGAATTACATCGCTGTCAATACATTTAGACAGTACTATTGCTTCAGTAGGGCTGAGTACATTTTTCCTATAATCCAAGCCTCAGTGTATAAATGGGAGAAATCCACATTCATAGGGCTAAGCAGAGAAGAACTATCCAGAGAGGAAAGGACCCAATCCAAACGGGCATATCTGAATTAGCCGTGGAAAACGGAGAATAGAAAACCTCTTCTTCCCACCTGGCCAAGTCATTGTGGCTGCCACTGAAACACTGCTTGCTTTTGGTCAGCATCAACAAATCCTCAGTACAAAATATATCATGTTCATTTAATGGAGGCATGGAGCAGTGACTTCTTTGTTGTTTAACGTGTTTCCTAGAGTGAAAGTATGCCAGTGCCTGTAAATAGGAGATGAAATAATACCCTTCCTGCTTCAGTTAACTGATTCTCATTGGTTTCATCATTATACATAAAGAATGCTAGTTCACTTAGCATTTTCAGTGAGGGCACAATATTAAATCAGTGCCGTACTATTGGCCAGTAAACCTTGCTGTTTAATGGGGAGCAGCGAACATAGGACAATATCGTGATACTGTTCCCCCAGTGAGATTGAAGGTGGGGCTTAGATTTCTGGCAAATCCTCCTTGTATGATGGTGGTTCGTTAAGTCAGGAGACCTCATTTATTTCACCTGCTTCCTTACTGTGATTATTAAAAGAAGGAGGATTGATTGGCGGGGTGTCAGGAACATCCAGAGAGTTATGGAAATGGACTTCTTTATCTATGGCTGTTGGTAATTTAAGTCTCACTCAGAAGGCCATGCAACCTATAATACAGATTATATGGACCTAAGTGCAGAAACAGTCTGATCAAATTTGGCAGAACAATGAAAACAAAAAATGCTATTAAACTCACTATATTGCCCGACTTTCTCTTAGAAAGAAAGTCTTCATTTCAGTTTAGTTTATTATTTAATTATAGCTCATTGTTTAAACTACGCGAGTTACATGAATTCTCTCCCTCTCCTCTCACCACAATTAATTAATCTGGGTAATGCATGT